CCCTCTCGAGCAACGCCGTGCTCTGCTGGAAGTTCTGCCATGTGTTCCACAAGCTCCTTCGAGACGGGCACCCAAACGTGAGTTGATGGGACAGCAGTGGGCGGGGGCGGAGAGTGCCATTGCCTGGGCTGCAGAGTACAGAGGGCTGCTCCCCACGCCCACCCTGAGGGGTGGCGGGTACCCATTTCCCCTGGCCTGTGGATTGGCAGTTTGGTTGTGTTTCTCTCTGGTCTACCACCATCTACTCCCCACCCAGCCCCACCTGCCCTATGCCCGATCCTCTCCTCCTCCCCTCTCACCACCTGCTCTCTCGCTCTCCAGGTCCTGAAGGACTCGCTGAGATACAAAAATGAATTGAGTGACATGAGCAGGATGTGGGTGAGTTTGGAGATGTGGTCCGGAGCCACCTGGCACTCCTGCCCTTTCCCAGTGGCTACGAAACCAGGCCTCGGGAATGGGACACATTCAGCTCAAATTGTTAACTTATGTAGGATTTCTCCCCCATGAGAACCCGGAAATAGTACCGTGGCCGCCAGACTCTCCATGGGGTCCCTGGAAGTCAGAGAACCTCTAGAGCCTTGGTTCTCAACCTGTGGGTCCCGACCCCATCGGGGGTCGAATGAACCCTTTCACAGGGGTTGCCCAATTCAGAACAGTACCAAAATGACAGTGTGAAGTAGCAACGAAAATAATTTTTTGGTTGGGGCGGGGGGTGTCACTACAACTGTATGAAAGGGGCGTGGCATGAGGAAGGCTGAGAAGCACTGGCCCAGAGCCTGACAACTCCTGACTGGAACCTCCGTCACCGCTCCCTCTGGACTTCAGGATCCTCTCCCCCGTGACCTTGCCCGGGTTCACCTTCCCTCCCTTGCGCTGTCCACAGTGCCAGAGAGTGACGCGATTCGTAATGTGCCTCTGGGGGAGCTCAGAGTCAGCTAAAGAAGAGTTTTGATACATGCACCCACTTCCCTCGTCAATTGATAATCCCAGAGGCTATCTCTGTATCAGTGGCAGGTAGGGCGAGGTAATAGGCCTTTTGAGGATCTGTATGGCTGGTTCTGATAGGTCAGTCTTTGCCCTACCAGTTAAGGACTGGTTAAGCACCGCTGCCCCAGTTACTCACTGTAGGTGAAAGATGGTGTCGTTGGCACACGTGGGGCAATACTGGCCCAAGAGGAAAACCACTTCCCCGAAGGCAGAAGGCTGGTTCCCTACACAAACGGGGCGCTGTCCTCAGACCTGCGCGTTAGGAATCTCTTATCTCGCTAACTTACAAAATGTGTAAGCCCTTGTTTTTGATCATTAGCCCCATCCGTCTATCTTTTTTTTTTTATCCTTTTACTTTCAACTTTCATATGTTTTGTTTATTACATGTAAATAGCATTTAAATTTTTAAAGATAGATGATGTCTTTCAACTGGATAGTTATTCCATTTATATGATAATAAATGGATGAATCTCTTCCATCTTGCTTTTGTGCAGTTTGCCCCATCTGTTCTCTTTCTTTGTTCTTGTTCTGTTTCCTTCCCCTTAGTACGAACTGGAAGGTGAAAAACACCTTTTTTTTTTACCCCCCAATTTTTGTAAGCACACTGAATATGCCAACATGAATGCTTCCCAAGGCTGTACTCTCTGCTCATCTTTTGGGTTTTATTTTTCCCCCTTCCGTTCCGTCTCAGACCTCTCATTCATTCCCACTTGCTTTCTGCCTGAGCTATTTCCTCTAGAGCTGCTTTTAGGGAAAG